AGCGCAGTGTTCTTAAATCAAAATTCCACTGATATCACAGTATGTCGAAAGGAAGCATTAGACTATATGAGTCGTTTCTCCGAATTCTCACAGCATAATTAGGCTCTTGATTACTCGCTGTTTGCTATGTAACTGCAGATAATTCCTCCATAAATCTTCCACGTCAGGCTAATAACGTCGAGACTAGGATCAATACCTCATCGTTTGCTCCATGAAAGAAGGATGCAAAGAATTTTGATCATGAAAGTATAACAGAAACGGAGATTTTGCTTGTTAAAAAGTTCCATTAAACTCGTTGAGGACTTCAATGCATTCAGATCGGTGTTAATTGCGGTTGCGTTTGTTTAATCTCTTGTCGCTTGTATTTAAGGGGGGTTACTGACACGAATTTCTTATACGCTGTTGGCATCAAGCGTCATGTACTCATTCTGTTTTCCGAATGAGACGCTGGAGCTGATCAACTTACTGTCTGTGCACGCGAAGCTTACCTGGAAAGAATTTGTAGGTGAGTAGGCATCGTTGGCCTCGCGCACACTATCGATGGCACATCGTTTTGTTTGGCATTTCAGAATCACCTCAGCCGCCCGAAACGAAAGTCGGCGGTGTAGTTATGGACGTAGATGCTGACGAACGCCGATTATGAAGAAACGTTTCTCGGCTGATGTTGAAGAAGGCTAATGCTCGAGGAAGAACACTCTTCAGTCATGCTCTACAGTTCTAAGGCTGCGTTGTGGTTTTAGTTTAAGGACATTTTGATGATTGGTATCCGGTGTAGTACAGATCGTGACTCACGCTGCACGTGTTGTTTGTTGTATTTCTTCTTTTCGATTCCGGCTTGGTCTCTGGAACATTTTCTGCAGAATTATTTTGCAACATGTTTGAAATGACGTCTCAGCCGTATCCGATCATTCACAAACTTATTATTCTCGCATTTTATGTATCACACTTACGGAACAACACCCTTGCTGCGGTGATGAGTCCCTGTTACAAATCAAGGGGCCGCAGAATACACTGACTTTTGACTGTGTCCCAAAATAAAACTGTGCAGTGCCGGAACACACTAACGGAATAACTGTGTGCGTCTGTTGCTAGTTTGGCTTAAGACCGAAACAAGTTCAGCACTTCCTGTCTGTCTGTCATGCGTCTGACATTGGCTGCCGCTGAGCTTATCATACTTTGGTCTTCGCATTAGTTTCTTTATGGAATTGTTTGTGTGGTACATCTAAATTCGAAGACTCAAACAAGCAAATTTTTCTTTATTTGTCAAATATATTACCTATATCATTAGGATTTGTTTGGTAGCAATCAAGGCTAGTCTTACGGTATAAATTTTGCTTTCTCCAGCTTTCGGCTTCATCTTCTGAGCATGGTCAGCAAACGGTTCAATAACAGAAATGAGTGAATGTAGTTTACTGCTCGAATATATAAAATGTTGCCATGTCTTTAAACACAACTAAACCACAGCAAAAAATCATAGACGTATAAGTACACCTTAAGCGGTAAGCAAATCAAGTTGCAGTGTATTCCATCAGTCAGCAGCCAAAAGGTTCTTCATGATGCAGACCCAGGCAGGAAATGAAATACGTATTACTTCCATGCAACAGTACATGCTCACAGTTTTGGTCTCGCATCGCAGTGTACGAATATACTAATCGACAGAACCGAAAAAAGCGGATAGTTGCTGTCTGGGAGAACACCTTCCTCAAGTATAAGCGTTACAAATTCAAAAGCATATAACTCGTGCATTACTGTCTAAGATGAGGTGAACAGTACAAAGCTGAGAGCGCATGCAGTGTAGAAACCCTTTAAGGCATTAAGTGACGTTCACGAGTTTGTAACGTTTTAAAATTTTTCTCAGGTCTAACCAATTGAAAGAATGCAGTATGAGCAGATGCTGTACAGAGTTGTTGTTTCGGAGACGATATAAAACCGGAGTCTACAGTAAACAGCGACAGACATCCAAAACAGACAGCATTAGAACTCGATGCCATTGATATATCATATGACCTTGATATGGTAGAATGCATTACTCTCACCAAAAAGATGATAGAACTAGGCTAATTATCCCACCGGAATATTTCGTATTATAACACTCCTACTTTCACAGAGCATTCGGGTAGTAAGTGACAGTCATTCTGCTAAGAGCCATTACAGTAGTAGTCGCGGTCATCGCAATTTCGTCAGTCGCACTGAATCAAGTGCAAAACGCTTGCAGAAAAAACATCGGGGAAACAATTTTCGAAGTCTAATATAGCATCATACCCTGTCAGAAGGATGTATTAAACAAAATGTAGAATCTCGCTAATACGGAACAGTTATTCAATTTACCTTTTCAGCAGTCAACAGTTCGTTGCAAGAATGCCATAAAACTTTGCTTTTTAGCACAGATAATTCAAATGTACTGGCAGATGAAAGAGCAGTGAATAAATCTGATACTGTAACAATTAACGAAACGAAGGTTAGAATAAAACTGTCGTACTGTCATGAAACTGTCGTAAAGTTAAACCTTTTTATTGCAAAATCTGGAAATTAATATCGTAATCTGGGTTACAATGAAGAATTGTAAACTGCCTCTATGATCTGTTACTTTGAACAAATTAGGAAACGAAAGGATATGAATTAATTGTTTGGGCGTTGGGGCGAAAAATGGGCGTATCTGTTAGCCTGAAGCTACAAATTACGCAAACAGGCAACAAACGCATATCTTCTTCCGCGTTTATCATTGCAGAAATCTATCAGTATATCATTAAAATATGTATAGGTTAGCTTAAATAATTACATAACTTACTGAAAACTTTCAACAAACTTGAGAATCACTTTTGTTAGATGTAGCGGTTTATGAAAGTGCTACTGAAGCTACGTGCTGATATTTCCCTTTTGAACTGTTTTTTCCCTGTTTGATGAACAGACGCTTCGTAAATTGCTAAATTATTAAGTAAACATTTAAAACAGAGAGCGATTAAAAGTCTTTTAGGTCTTCAAATATAATGCGATGGTTGTGTTTGCGTAAGGTGCAGCAGACGTATATGAGCTAACGGTATCTTGAGCTTTCTTTGACAGACTGATTTTGCTGTTTCTGATTACTGCGTGAGGCGGAGACGCAATACACGAAACCGATGGTTCGTGACGGACTTCTTTCTATACTTGACTTTCAACTTTATCGCATTTGTCATTAGTTGTCAGGCAAGTATAGATTAGAATCAAACTATGAAGTAACGAATCAGATTGGCGACCACGTTTAATGCTTAATTCATTCAGCAGTAAAACATTTGGCATGGTGGCACATTGGCAAAGAGGTCGATTTGGACTCCGGAGGTGCTCGATTCGAATCCGCTCGAAGGAATCTGTTTTATCCGCGAATTCTATTGAGTAAGGAATTAACCTCACGGTACTTCAGCGCGACTAGCCGAGAAACGGTTAGTTTGGGCAGCGTGATGTTCTGGTCTGATCACGCTAGAATGGTCGAGACATACGGCCATGCTGTCCGATGCAAGCGCTTCTTGTGGCTGCAGATCTTGTCCCACCTTATAGCTAGATATCCCGTGTAATAATCACCACAGGGTGTAGCCCTAGCTTCTGTGTTTTTCTATTTTAGATTTTATTTCGTTAGTCTCATTTTCGTATTATTTTCTTTTTCATTACTGCTTGTTAGTTATTAGTAACTGTTTGATCGATCCGCTCTTTGTAGCCTGTGGTTGGGAAGTGGATTTTTCTTCGACTGTAATGCACAATTTACCTTCTAGAACACTGCAGCCATCCATCACGAAGCAGTCTTCAAATGTGTTGAATCTTTCGTACTGTTCATCATGCCCGGCGAAACTCGACCAGAAATGGTAATGACTTCAAAATTTTGATATTTGTGATCAGCAGAAGAAAGGATGGAATGTTTATAGTCGCTGGAATGTCGGTTTTCCTTACACTTTCATTTTGGGGCCATGACTCTTTCCATGACGTTAATGGTTTGGCACTGATCCATGCCATCGACTACGGCTATGTGGTAAACATAGTGTGTAGTCTCCTGTTTCCTTCTCTCAGAGTCATACTTATCAACCTCGGAAGGAAGGCGAGTGTCCCTGATCAAGATTGGCATCCAAAACCTCTTGGTTGTGAGTCCAGTATTCTATCGGCTGAGTAATCCAGGTCTGAAGCAGTTTGTGGTTGATAACCTGCTTAAGGAAATTCCTGGTTAAGACAAAGATTGTTTCCATCAGAATCGAACCCGGCACCTCCGTAGTTCGATGCCAACCTCTCATTCACTGTGCCACAACGCCTACTAAACAGAAAGTATGAAGATCATTTTGATGGAACTGGTGTGTTTTTTCATT